CGCCAAAGGTTCCCATTTCGCATTTCTTGTGTCTGGTGTAAATACATGTATTCAGCATTATGAATTGATGGTCTGATGTGACAAATGTATTACATGTTATGTAATATGCTCATGGAACTGCAGCAAGACGAATTATCAGCTGAGATACAAAACAAACATTGATCAATGGATTAACCGATAACACGCTGATTGATTAATTACTTTTTTCTTGCACAGTGGATTTGTCAAAAGGTAATGTTTATGTATGTAGATTTACTAATCTATACTGATTACACCCTGTCCTGTACCCTGTACCTGTGTAAAAACAACATCTTTCCTTCAATGTATTAACCGCCAGTAAGTTGATGGGGTGTTCCTCTTTGCCAGTCGGGCAAGTTGTTTATTTAAGGCGTAAGAGGATCACCAGACCATGTTAATTAGCAAGACAATGGTACGGGTGGGTGGGGAGTGTGGGGGAGGAGATGACCAAGCCAAGAAAAACACAAGTGGATTTAATGCTCATTATTGGCTAATTAGATTACCTTTTTAAAGAATGGCGGACATCATGCAATTCGTTGACCAATGAGATTATACACCAATGTGAAAACTGAATCGATGTATCCCTTTTTTCGGGCATTAGACTGTTAAAAGACACTTGGCATGGAACGGGATTCTTTGTCAGCTGCAGATCAATGGCATATTGTTCCTTTATGTGAAGGTAGTGTCCCATTTTTTGACAGCGTCTTGGTCACTGATTCGCGAAGTTTCGCTCTCAAACCTGGGATAACTAGCTGCACCAATTAAGGGTAGTTATGTTAATGCAATCACCTGAGAGAAGTACAGAACAAGTAAAATTCTTCAACACTAATACAAACTAATACGAGACGAACTGCCAGCAGGAATGGTACCATTATATGGAGATATCAGTGCCTGAAAACAGCCTCAGTCACTACAACAGCAGATGGGACTGTTGTCAGAAGAGGGGACAAACAGCATACACATCCAGACCAAAGCTCTATTGGCTCCTATATCCAAATTTGAGGCTGTCAAAATCGGGACTTAACCTATGTGGATATTGATGGATACATTCCTCGAACAAGGTAATAACCTGACATTGTTGCAGACTTTAGTCGGTTTTATTTCTAATATTTGCATTTTGTTTTTATTCATTTGTGGTAGCATTCAACAGAATCATTTGTTTTCGCCGTAATGAGACAGACAACATACACTAGGTCATACCTAGGGTGTGTGTGAAATATGATTCTTGTTGGCATTCTATAAAATGTCTAGATGTTACAGTCATGTTATAAATACGCTATAAGTATAATCGTATGCTTTTTATTAAGTTTCAAAATGCATGCCAAATATGGCAATATAATAATTAGGATTATAAGACAAAATATATAGACATACATTGACTTCGTTTTTTTTCAGTCCTGACATTTTTTACCACTGGCAGATGATTAAACTTCAAAGTGTTTTCATTTCATTTTCAAAATGATGGAAATATTATCGAGTAAAAAAGATTTTATTTTTGTTGATCAATCTACACCTATACGATCAATTGCGCATGCGGGTTGCGCAGCAAAGGTCACGAACCAATCGAAAGTACTGGGATATCATCCGGGTACTCAGGGGAGAAAAGCAATAACAAAAGCAACAACCAGTGCGCGGAAATTGCTCTGGATCAGTGCCTTGTTAAATGTGTTTACCATATGATTGTTTTGATCATGTTTTTACACGGTCGGCTTCAGTGTGCGATTTGTTCACTTCCATCAACCACCAGCTTGTAATAACACGTCACATGAGATTAGCCATGTGCTAAAATAACACCCAAACTTTAAAGCGTACCCCTTGTCAATGTCCTGAGCCTTATAAGAATCGAAAGGTCGGCTTCCTGAGTCGACATCTCAAACTATGGTATGTAAGTGGTAATAATTCCCGAGCATTAGAGAACAGATTGGCTTGGTTGGAATTTAATGATTTTCATAAACTAGAATCTCATAAACTATTTGTCTCTGGAATCATCTGTGATATGAACTTGTGTAGTGGTTTCTCTAGAAATTATTTAACGTTATCTAAAATTAAACATTTAGTCACCTTTTATTGTATATGACCAAATTAATTAGTTACACTATGAAGTTTTAAGAAGGGATTCATTTGGGTTCTTTTGCCCCAGTCCGCCTGTGTGTGGACAATATAACCAATTATCTATTATTAAGTTCATGATATTTCGTGAATACACCAACTGCATAACACCGTCTCTGACCACAAACCCAAACGGGTTGCTCTCTATTCGCTCACAGTCTTAAAACAACATTTCATGGTCTGTTGACTGTTGATTTCGCAATGATAAACCACCTAAACGGTCCATCCCTTGTGTCAGGGCCTATTATTCCCTGGCAAGGGTTCACTTTTATGACATGTACATGTAATAAACCATGGCCAGTCAGTCAGTGGGTCCGGTAAACTTTTATTTAATCAATGATGTAACGTAGGTCTATGTAATTTGTGTTTATGCAAACCGTGACAGGTCAAAACTATTTGCGCTTTTGTGGATAATAAGTAAACCATACACTTAAAACTGTATTTTGGAAAATGCTAGCCATATCAGGGCAAATATGACAGTTAATGCCAATTTTGACACCTAGAACAACCAGGATGCAGACGAGAGAAGTTATACCAGGAATAATCTACAACGTCTTATAGTCTCCCTGGTTATAGTTGATCGCATAGGAGGACGAATACACTCCTAGGAGGACGAATACACAGTCTATACACTCACGGGGATCCTTGGGAAAAGGAGAAACTGAAAGAAGTAGTGGTAAAATCCTTCCTGAAAATAATTTCCAAAGATTTCCAAGCCTTGTGAAATATCATCTTTCCAATTTTGGAAATTTTGGAAATATCATCTTTCCAAATTGGAAATTTTGGAAATCACCATTTTTTTCTTGTGTTCGTAGCGCTAAGAACATCGTAAACCTATCGTAACTTTAAGACAGAAATCTTAAGCGATCCACAAAGCTATCTTAGTGAAAACATCTCGTAAACTCAAGACCAAAATTTAAGAACGACCAGCGCCTATCGTAAATCAAACATTTCTGTCGTAACTTGAGAATTAAGATGGTTTTCTGCTCGGCTTAGTTGAAGAAGAGTCAAAACCATCACGACCAAGGGTATTTCGGGACCGAACTCGGGTTCTCGATACGCTGGATGATGACAGCATAGTCCGGTGATATCGTCTACCATGTCATGCCATTTTTGAGCTTGTAAACTCACTATCACCACATCTTGCTTTCCAAACCGAGCGTTCTCATGCATTGTCGCCGGAAACAGGTTTAATTGCCCTCAAATATTATGGTAAGGGATCGTTTTCCTCTGAGCTAGCGGACTTGCATGGGGTATCCCAGTCCACTGTGTCACGGGTATTTACCCGCACAAACGATGCTATTGTCAAACATATGAAACAAATATAATTCCCAAAGGCATCATCCGACCAACGAGCCACCAAGGAATCCTTCTATAACATTGCTAGATTTCCAAAGGTGCTTGGGTGTATCGATGGAGCTCTTATCCCTATTATGCGACCCAGCGATGACGAAGAAGCTGTTTACGTGTGCAGAAAGGGCTTCCATGCCGTAAACGTTCTGTGACGCAGAACTAAGGTAGATCTACGCAGAACCAAGGTACGTGACACTACTTAGAAACTTACTACTATAGCGTCCATATTTAATGCGTAATGCTTTCAGCATATGTATACTACCCGTATTCAAACATGATGGCAAATCATAATGTAAAACTTCGAAGGATACACACCTTGTTTACTCCATTAATGACCTTGACAGTGACCAGAGGTGCCACCTATTCGTTTTCATAACCAATCATTACGCAAGGCCCAATATGGGTTATGCAATGAGGTCCATAAAAGGTTGCTATTGCCGTTTTAGAAAGTAATTACATAACTTTAGTCAATAATGAATGCATGGTTGATGAAATAATTATAATTTTAATCCGAAGGTTCACAAGTGTGGTGTCAAAGTGTCCTGGATCAGTTCATGTCTCATTTATGCTTCAAAACAGCAGCATTGGGCAGTACATGGAGACTGCTGGGATTGACGGATGGCTGCTAGGTGATTCAGGGTAAGTGAATAAATAAATAAATACATAAATAAATAAATAAATAATATTAAAAGTAAATTAAAAACTTGAAGTTAAATTGAAGACAGCAATGTTTAAATCAATCAGGAAATTAAATTTTATTTCACCCTTTAGTTGATATGTATTGTTGTAGTATTCATGTTGACTTTATGTTATTAATGGTATGGCTTCTTTATACTTTTTTATTACTTTTCCATCAGATATGCCTGTCGCCCATGGCTGCTTACACCAAAAGTCAATCCAACCACACCTTCTGAGGAGCGGTACAACACTGCTCACTGCAGAACCCACAATACTGTGGGGAGGGCTTTTGGACTTCTCAAATCCAGGTTTAGGCATGTGCAAGTTCATACATTATTCTTCTAAAACTATTATAACACTATTTGAGATGCTCATATATTGGAAAGCTTACTTTTTGGCTAGTGACAGTTTGAGATGTAATAATATAATACAAGCATAATGTGATATTATTGATACTCAAACTTCTTAGTAAATGAAAGACATGATCCGTCAAGAATACTTCAATTTATAAGAATAATTTGACTAGTAAAATTGGTCTTTATGCTGAACAAATAACAATGTTTTGTTTATAGGTGCCTACATAAATCGGGTGGCTGCCTCCCATTCAACCCAAAGAAATGCCATCAAGTTGTGTATGCAACCTGTCAGTTACACAATTTCTGCATCAACCTCAGATTGCCAGCTCCTCCAACACTGGAAGACCTTACCCACGAAGATGGGATATCTTACCAGGGACCTCTAAATGATGGTCTCAAAGTTCGACAAGCTGTCATAAAAAACTGCCTTTCTTAATCATGGTGTCATTTGGCAGAATTATGATAAATAATAAGAATAGGTACAAGAACAGGCTGATTTTTTAATAGTTGTGCAAATGCATATTCTGTCAAAGAAACTGAATGATTGGGGACACATTGAGTTCAGATTGGCCAGTCTGGTGCAGAGAGGTGATATAGGCAAACTTCTGCTCCTCAATTTGTAGTCTCTTCTTTTGAACTTCAAGCAGGTCCTTAAGGACGTTCAGTTTCTCCCTCTCTCTCATAACAATATTATCCTTATCTGAAATATAGTTTCATATTATATAGCACAAGTTTGACACCAGGAGATATTTCCCATCCATCAGTATAGCAAATACACACAAACAAGTTCTTTAGCAAAATACAATTTCCATCTATGTATGTTTTGAAACTTCATGAATAACAGTACATACCACTTAGAGTCTTTGAAGCCATCAAGTGTGCAACTGCATCAACTGTATCAACTGCTTCAACTGCAATAAAGATACACATCATTTGATTTTGAAATGTGGACGTAGACATGAAAACATAATCACATGAATCAGAAATTCTGAGTAAAGACATTTTACTATTAAATGTATACCAACCATCTTCTCTCAATGTGAAACATGAACACATAGAGAGAGTGGACTATCAAGTCATTGAGCCATTCCAGTAAAACCTGTGATACTATGATATTGTAGATATGATGTCATATTATGTTGTGATAGATTACTTGCTATAAACTGTCATAATTCTCTCTCCACACAGAACCCTATAAATGTCTTGTCCTAAACTTAATGAGCCTTATATCCATGATGTACATGTTAATAACCTTGGGGAACATCATCTGCTGACAACAAACTCTCTGAGTAGGAAGGCAGACTGTAGGCCCCATCACGTGGCAAACCAGGCAGTACATGCAGAGTCTCAGGGGTAGCTGGAGTAGTGTCTGTAAGTAAAACATGAATTGTAATTACAATTGAGAAATGTTCATACAATCAAAAAGGAACAATCTACCAAAAGTATGGTAACTCAACTGCATTATTATTCAAATTTTTAAATCAATTTTATTTACATCGGTTTCTTTACATTTTCAAATTCACCTTTATTTGTGAGACAATCTGCACTATGTGTCAAATATATTAATTAACATTTCATTTGAGATTGTTTCAGCTGTAAACAATTCCACATATAACATTTCATGAACTTACATTCAAATTCCTCACTTTCAAGGCCACCATCACAACCTTGAATAGTGCATGAAGGCAGGAATGATACAACCTGAAAATAAATTGTTAAATTACAATTCAACAGCAACTGCATACACTGTAAACAATATGCCCAGATGTATTTCATATATCTTGATAAAGACACTCGTGAAATTCATGATTCAGAAAGGACTGTAGGCTCACCAGCTGTTCCATTTCTGTCAGGCTTGATGGTGGAGGCCCCCCCACCAGTTTTGGTTGCCTCCTTCCTCCTTTCTGGCGGCGGTGGGGTAGCCTACTGGTTAAAAGCGTTGGCTCGTCACGCCGAAGACCCGGGTTCGAATCCCCACATGGGTACAATGTGTGAAGCCCATTTCTGGTGTCCCCTGCCATGATGTTGCTGGAATATTGCTAAAAGCGGCGTAAAACCAAACTCAGTCAGTCAGTCAGTCAGTGAGTTATGTCCCCTGAGAGAACGGTCGTGCGAAACATCGGTTCGAGCATTCCATGTTTATAAGTAATATTTTATTATTAAAATAGTTTTTAATGATGTTAGTTCCTTATTTTAGCGGCAAGCCAACGGCCTTAAGTTACCGCTCTTCATGTTAATTAGAGTTATCTCCCTTGACCTAATTCTTGTCGTCCTAGCGGTTGAAATGGCGGCATGCTTGATCTATCGTGACGAAAAATCAGTCAATTGGTAAGGAAAAAACATAATGGCAGAAAGTATACAGGAGGTAAAACCCAAGCGCAAGACCGCTGGTAACCGGATGCAAGACGTGATGGAAGCTTTGAAAAGTCCAGTATCGAAGAAACAAGGAAGATCAAGCCTTACACGAGTGTCCCCTGTGTCCTTGTCGACAGACGCCATGACAGCTCCGGCTGGCGTGGAGAAAAATGACTTTGATTCTGAATATAGACGATTAAGTGAAGAGTTACATCAACTGAGGTTAGAAGACAAGAAAGCCGAACTCAGAAGAGAAATTGACACATTAAAGGTGAAACTGACTCGTGAACAGGACGATCACGTGAACAGAGAGGTCAACCAAAGTGAAGGTCAAAGACGTCAAGATGGCGGCGCCAATGGTAATAAACATTTAGACTACACAAATTTTCTATGGGTAAATTCACTGGATACGGCAAGACAAACAGTCGATCTAGGGGGAGCTGTTAGCATCGATGTAGGGAAAAAATCTACAAACCTATCTAAGATATCATTGGACATGTGGATGTATGCAAATTTAGGATTATTGCGTGACCAGGTCCAGAAAGGTGCATTCGACAATGACAAGGACTGTAGGCTTTACTAACCTATCTGCAACTTTGGTTGACCTCTCTGTTCACGTGATCGTCCTGTTCACGAGTCAGTTTCACCTTTAATGTGTCAATTTCTCTTCTGAGTTCGGCTTTCTTGTCTTCTAACCTCAGTTGATGTAACTCTTCACTTAATCGTCTATATTCAGAATCAAAGTCATTTTTCTCCACGCCAGCCGGAGCTGTCATGGCGTCTGTCGACAAGGACACAGGGGACACTCGTGTAAGGCTTGATCTTCCTTGTTTCTTCGATACTGGACTTTTCAAAGCTTCCATCACGTCTTGCATCCGGTTACCAGCGGTCTTGCGCATCATAGAAATAAGTAAGTTCTGTGTCCCCCTTAAACCGCCAGGCCAAACCAGTGTATTGATTGGATGTCATTGCTTATGATTAGTACGTTTTGCATCATAGAAATAAGTAAGTTCTGTGTCCCCCTTAAACCGCCAGGCCAAACCAGTGTATTGATTGGATGTCATGGCTTATGATTAGTACGTTCGACCCGGAATATATATCTCTTTCTGCAACGAAATTTAATAAACCACTGAATCTGAGAATATGGGTATCTCGATCGAACTCTGGAGATCTAGAATTGGGACTTTTTATCACCGACCCAAGCTCAGTTCCCGCCGAAGTGACAGCCATGACAGTGACCACTACACACCGACCAGCCGATGGTCACCCGGGATGGACACAAGCTACCGGATTGTTAGTGTGACGTTTGTGATCTTCTGTATTGTCATGGTAGGCTGTACACTCACACAGCTCTATCGGGATATTGAGATTAACTTTCACAATGGATGTTCATGGAGGATTTCACATCTCGCATCTAACGACGAAAAGGTAAACACTACTCTTACTCTGATATACCGAAGTGCTCTTCTCATACTATCTGGTGACATCGAACTTAACCCAGGACCTGTTGATAATGTTGTTTCATTTCGTGAAGAAATACTATCAGCATTTAAAACGATGAAACAGGATATCACCTCGGAAATCAGAGACCTGAAGGTAGATATGGGGAAGATGAGTAACACGCTAGATAACATAAGCTCTGAGCTGGCAGATCTAAGATGCAGACAGGAAATTCTACGTGCTGATGTTGACGAAGTTGCAGATAGGTTAGATCGCCTAGAGATGTCTCCAAGCAACGACAATATAACCATGGTTACTGACAAAATAGACTGTATAGAGGATATGCTGGAGAAACAAGAACAATACAGTAGACGCTGCAACGTCATTCTGTATTGTCTACCTGAAAAAGCACGAGAGACAGTCTCTGTGTGTAAGAAATATGTATGTGACACTTTGAATGGACATAACACAGACGGTGATAATGATATCACTAGCGACTGTATCGTTGCCGCACACAGGTTAAAGGGGAAGCCAGGCCAGCCAAGACCCATGATAGTCAAATTTCTCTACCCAGAGGATAAAGTGTGGGCCTTAAAACTGAGAGACAGACTTAAAGATGACAGATACGGGATTTCCTCAGTCATCACGAAAAACCAACGACGGAAGCTCAACGATTTGAAAGCTGAGAACAAACTTGGCTATTTCAAAAATGGTAAACTGTTTGTGACCGAGAGGCAGAATACAGATACCACCCCCACTCAGCCAGATGCGTCGTCTGCTACCATGCCCGACCCCGAGCCCCCTACATCAAGCAACAAGAAGCCTGGACCCAATCTACGCTCTAGAGACAAGCGAGAGAGGAGGAGATAGGGGTGTGGCCAGGGCCCAGATGTTAGTGTCCATACCATCAATAATCACTCATTTTTGTTATGTCAATGGACTCACTTCTAAATCATCGGATGCTGACTTTGTGAGCTATGCTGAAACATTCGATGTAATTGGCATGTGTGAGACGTGGAATACCAAAGAAGACCATGATATGTTCTCGGATGAGTTCATGTGCTACAGTCTAGATGCAGTTCGAATCTCTGCTCATGGCAGATCATCAGGGGGAATATTAATGCTTGTAAAGAAGCCATTAGTACAGTACGTTAAAATGTCTAAGATTACTCCAAATTGTGTATTCCTGCTGTTCGACAAAGTGTTTTTTAATTCAGAAAAAGATGGGGTTTTTTTGTTCTGTATATATTCACCCTGAGACATCGCCATGGTACGCTCATAATAACGTACATTGTGGTATATCCTTGCTACAAGACTCACTAACTGATCTTCTACAAGAGCTGGGTAACATCTCACTTCTGATTGGTGGTGACTTCAATGCAAGAACGGGCACTAACCCGGACTATGTAGAGGACGATATAATATCTACTCTAAAGATGGACTATTGCGAATTCTTACACGATAATATTCAACATAGACGGTACTCATGTGACAATTTTGTTTCAAACTATGGTAAAAAATTATTAGAATTATGCGCAAGTTTGAATATCTCAATTTTTAACGGCAGAACTGGAAATGATAAATTAATTGGCGATTCCACGTATATCTCATCAAACGGAACAAGTGTGATAGACTATGTTATCGGAACGAGTGACTTGTTTTTGCAGCGGATTCGATATCGGATGTAGACCAGAGTCTCCACATCTGCCAATCACTTGTGCATTTCAGTCACGTGGTGACATTGACAACCACAAGGAAGCACGTGCACTCGATTCACACTCTGGACAGAACTTCAGGTACAAGTGGACTGATGACTGTGTAAACGAATTCTGTGCTAATCTGCTTTCACCTGATGTAACAAAGACTCTAGACGATTGTGCTTGCCAAGCTATCTATGATGTAAATCAATCAGTTGAATCGTTTACTAATGCCTTACTCAAGGCTGCTGACTTTACAAAGAAACGCTGCAACAACTATACTAAATCTAACCAGCCATGGTTTGATTACGAATGTAATTTCCTTAGATTAGAAACCCAAAGATTGTTAAAAATATTCAGAAGGGTTAAATCTGACATATCCCGACAGTCGTATGTTGATTGCAGAAACAAGTACAATGCTACTTTACGAAACAAGAAAAGACTCTACAATATGTCAATAAAGGACAAATTACTACAGAATATCTATAATGCAAAAATATTCTGGAATACGCTTAAAACATATACAGCCCCCAGAGCGAAAATGAGCAATGTTGATATTCATGTATGGTTTTCCTATTTTAAGAACTTGTATCAAGACAAAAGCACTGTGTCTGATCATGCCGAGCCCCATATTAGTGAATGTGATTTTGATTATGACGTTGATGACATAACATGTACTATATTAGATTCACCCATTACTAGGGACGAAATATCTGAGGCTATTCTTAAGCTTAAATCTTCAAAGTAGCCTGGTGAAGATAATTTACTGCCATCCATTTTAAGCATTCAATGGATATTTTATTACCGTATATGTAGCTATTGTTCAATATAATGTTCGAGTCCTCCACTTTTCCAGACAGCTGGAGTACAGCAATTATTGTTCCTTTATTTAAGAAGGGTGATCGTAATGATCCAAATAATTACAGGGGAATATCCCTTCTTAGTACTTTCAGTAAAATATATACATCTGTACTTAACAATAGAATAACATTTTGGGCAAATACATACGAAAAGGTTATGGAATCACAAGCAAGGTTTCGGGAAGGTTATAGTACAATTGATAATATTTTTATTCTACAATCTGTTATCCAACGTTATCTATGTAAGAAAAAGGGGAAGTTCTATGCTATATTTGTCGATTTCAAAAAGGCTTTTGATTTTGTTAACAGGGATAAACTATGGGCCATTCTCAAATATAGAGGCGTTTCACCTAAGATGCTTAAAGCCTTAACTTCTATCTATAAGTGTGTTAAGGGACAGGTGCGTGATATTTCTCTCTCTCAGTTGTTTAATTGCCCACAGGGTTTGCGACAAGGGTGTGTTTTAAGCCCGCTATTGTTCTTATTCTTTATCAATGAATTAGCTCTAGAAATTGAATCCACATGTTACCCAGGTGTACAGCTTCACCCTGATGTTGTACAAATGTTCCTACTACTTTTTGCCGATGATATT